ACACATGCACCAAAACCCATGTTAACTTCGAAATCCAATCGGCAACCACTAAGGGTTCACTTTGATTTCCCAGGCCAACATGGCAACTTTTCTATTGCTGATAACGCGGGGCGCCCCACGCGCACGCGCCGCCGCGCGCGCGGCGGCGCGGGCGCGCGCGAGGGGTTGTTGTATACGCCGTTGCAAGACACGTACACCAGAACCCATGTTGACTTGGAAATCCAATCGGCAACCGCTAGTGGTCCACTTTGATTCTCCAGGCCAACATGGCGCTTCTTCTACTGCTGATAACACTGAGCGCCCCACGCCCCTGCGCCGCCGCGCGCGCGGCGGCGCCGCCGCGCGCGCGGCGGCGCAGGCGCGCGCGAGAAGTGGTTGCATGCGCCGTTGCTGAACACATGCGCCAGAGCCCATGTGTTCTGCAGCGGCGCATGCAAACGCTTCTCGCGCGGCGGCGCAGGGGCGTGGGGCGCTCAGTGTTATCAGCAGTAGAAGAAGCGCCATGTTGGCTTGGAGAGTCAAAGTGGACCACTAGCGGTTGCCGATTGGATTTCCAAGTCAACATGGGTTTGGTGTACGTGTCTTGCAACGGCGTATACAACAACCCCTCGCGCGCGCCCGCGCCGCGCGCGCGCGGCGCGCCGCCGCGCGCGCGGCGGCGCGTGCGCGTGGGGCGCCCCGCGTTATCAGCAATAGAAAAGTTGTCATGTTGGCCTGGGAAATCAAAGTGAACCCTTAGTGGTTGCCGATTGGATTTCGAAGTTAACATGGGTTTTGGTGCATGCGTTCTACAACAGCGCAGACAAACATTCCTCTCGCGCGCCTGCGCCGCCGCGCGCGCGGCGGCGTGTGCGCGTGCGGAGCTTCGCGTTATCGGCAATAGAAGAGTCGCCATGTTGGCCTGGAACACATGCACCAAAACCCATGAGTTGCGCCGCTGCAAAACCCAGAGTTGTCGGGGGCGCCGCGGGGTTGGGGCGAGAGCTCGCGCGCGTGCATGAGTGCCAGGGCGTGAGACGTGGCGCTGAGGCCCACTGCTAGAGCCCTAAGCTGGCCGCAGGCCTCGCGCGTCCGCGGCGTGGGCAGGACCCTCCATGTTCTTCGGTCTCGGTGTCAGTGTGTCGCCTCCAGCAGCCGCGCGCTCGTGGATGACGGCGGCGCGGAGACGCACACCCTCGCATGTTCTTGTTGTGGGGCAACAGCAGCCTGGAGCTGGGCCTAGGGTGGCGGGGGCCAGGCCGCGCGGCCGCGGCCTTGAGTCTGGGGCGAGCAGGCGAGGTCGCGCGAGGCCCCCTGGGGCGCCGCGGGGCGAGAGCTCGCGCGCGTGCATGAGTGCCAGGGCGTGAGACGTGGCGCTGAGGCCCACTGCTAGAGCCCGACTAAGCTGGTCGCAGGCCTCGCGCGTCCGCGGCGCGGACAAGACCCTCCATGTTCTTCGGTCTCGATGTCAACGTGCTGCCTCCAGCAACCGCGCGCTCGTGGATGACGACGGACGCGCGGAGGCAGATCCAGGGCACAGGAACACAGCGTGGATCTCGGGGGGCGGGGGGGGGGGTCAGGGCTTCGGGGTTGCGTGGTCCAGGCTGTGCAGTCGAAGGCTTTAGGCTGGGGGCTGAACCAGATGCGTACTTACGCACGTTGGCTCGGAAGTGAAGGTCGGGGACACATCGGAAGGGCGTCCTCGACGTCCTTCTGGTTTGGGGTACTTTGGCCCGCGGAGGATCTCATGTTATTGTCCGATGTTATTGTGGCCTTGTTCTGGCCGTAGCGGACGTGTGATGTTATAGTGTGTGGCTGTGATGTTTTGTATGTTACGCATGTTGTATCTATACTACATTATGATATGACGTTATATGATGTGATATTGTGTTTTGTGGTGTTTTCGCGAGCGCCCAGGATGGCACACTCTTGTTTCACCAGGTTGTTTTCGCGAACGCCCACGGTTGCACGTTACTGTTTCAGCGGGTCGTTTTTGTGAACGCTCAGGGTGGTACATTTCTCTTTATTCGAGATCGTGGCAAGCGTTATGTGATTTTATGTTGTGGCATATGATGTCGGATGTTGGCGAATGATGTTATGCATGGTATGTTATGTCCTGGTTTGATATGTTATGCTGTGATATGTTATGCTACGTTATGTTAAGTTATGTCAGGACGTATGAATTTGATGTCGTGATGGCGACGGGGATGTTGGGTAGTGAGTGTGGTTCATGGGCTGCTGCGCGAGGAGGGAGGATAGGGAGGAGGGGGAAGCTTTTGAAGGAGTCGGGACCTGAAGACCTGCGACTAAGCTTCGGCCAGGAAGTTGACTTCGCGGGGTGGTCCGTCCTTGTTTTTGCACCTCGGCGCAGGTCAGGCCTTGCAGGAACGCCTTCTCGACCTCCACAGCGACGCGCGCCCGGTCTGGGCGTCGCACCGCCTCCCTGGATAACGGGCGCCGCGGCGCCCGCTTCGCTGTTCCAGCGAACGTCTCCGGGGACCTGGCGCCCACGTCGCGGGGGCCTCTTTCAAAGCCATGCGGCGCAGGATGATCTGGGCCGTCTTGCCGTCGGCCACCTTCCGGCGCGTCCACTTGTAGACATGTCAGGAGCCCACTAGATCTCGGGCGCCTTTGACCACTCGCCTCTCGAATCATGGAAGTGCATGTGGTCCAGATACTGATCCCTTCGAAGACGGCCGCTGCGATCTCCCTTGACGGCCTCGACGCTTCCTCGTCGGTCAGAAGCGCGGCATCGCGCATAATGACCGCGGTCAGCGCGGCAGGGAGCGCTGGCGACGCAGTCGCCAGACGCTTCTTCTAGGAAGCTCAAGAATTATTCGCGCACCCCTGGATCAAGAAGCAAATCCACGCGCGACCCCCCTTCGTCGTCGTCATCCTCCTCTGGCGTGGCGTAGCCGCCCGAGGAGGCCACGCGCAGGTAGTGCTGGCACTGCGCGTGGCTGCTCTGGCGCTGGCGCTGCGGCTCGGGGCGCTGGGGCCACTCGCGGGCCCTGCGACCAGCTAGGCCAGCCGCGGCGTGCTCGACAGCAGCGTAGACCTCCTGCTGACTGTCGGTGCTCTCTTGCTCCTCGGGCTCCTGAATCAAGCCTTCTGCCCCCTCGACTTCGCGCCAAGCTGCCATCGTGACCTGTCGGATGTGGCCGGAGACGTCGCTGCCGCTCTCGATGGCGCTGATGGTGAACCCCCTTCGGTTGTTCTGGCGGCGTCCTCGGGAATCTCGATGACACAGTCATCGAACGATCCGTCTGGATATTGTCCGGTGTCTGATACCAGCAACTGAATGATGCGAATTTCCTTCCGACGCTCGCCGGTAATTCGATGGATGTCGAATTTGGCGCCGTCGAGATGAATCTGCTGGATGTCGTTCGCATTCTCAAGGGTACCAGATAGCCAGGCTGCGGGTGTAGCCCGGCGAATGTTCCACATATTTCTGGCCGCGTATCAGGCGCATGGAGCGAACGTCGGGCAGCTGAAAGCATCTGCGGGGCAGATGACGCAGAGCTTCGAGGATGTCGAGGCACTGTCGGGTCTGCGCGGTGATTTGCACGCCCCCCACGTCTTCCCAATGGCCTAAGGCCCTGGCCCCCCGGAGCCTTGTACAGTTCCAGGAAATCCAGGAAGACCCCCAACGCGGTCCCATGCCAGGCCTGCTCGCGCCAGGCCGGTGCCTATGTCGTCGAAGATGGCACCGATGAGTGGCCAGACGTTTTGCAATCTGAATACCATATCGGCTCGGCGGTTCCCCGAGAACTAACGCTTCGTTCCCCCGCGATTCTAGAACCGCCTGCCCACTCAGCGAGGGCCCCGCGTGGCTGGGAAACCTGCCTGGGGAAATGCGGGCAAGGTTCTCCTTGCCTGCGTTAATCCTGGAAAGACAGGGCTCAGCCAACTGACGGGAGTCCACTGAGGCAGTCGTGCCTCAGAACAAACATGCAAAAAAAGCCGATCCAAGAATCCAAACTTGGGGGTGGGGTCGAGACCACCCCCCCGCACAGAAACAGAAAACGGAACCGGCAAGACCATGTCATGTGGCCAACTGGCCCCATCACCGCAAGGAGCTAGCATTGCATTCATCACCTGGCCCTTGGCCGAAATTAAACGACAGCGGACGCAGTGCCATCTCGATACTTCTCGGCGGATGCAGTGGAAACTAGCGGCGACCGCTTCCTCAAAAGCGGGGACGTTGCCCTCTCCTCCAGGACTCCTTGAACTTTTGGCTGGAGGGGGTCTGCCACAGAAGAAGCCACTAGAGCTCTGCAAGCCCTCTTACGAACGAGAGAGCAAATCGCGTCCCGTATGCCGGAGAAGGGGGAGACCGAGGGTGGTGGTGGTCAGTCGGTCGGTCTTTCGATCGGAATCTGTGCGCCGACCATTGGTTGACTCTTATTCCCCAAGAGCCAAGGGAGGGAGATAGGGCGGAGAAGGGGAAGAGGAGGTAGGAAAGGACAAGTCCGCCGACCCTGTCGGTGTGGGTGTGAGACGTTCTTCCGTTTGAGTCATCGCCGTCGCCGTCGCCGTCGCCGCTCCCCTCTTCTGTTTGAATCGTCGTCGTCGTCGCCGCTGCACTCTCCCCATTTCCCCCGTCGCCGTTGCACTCTCCAACCAGACGGAAATCGAAGAACGTCGAACTTGAGTCGAAGGGAAGCCATCCCCTTGGATTACTCCCCCGCCAGAGGGGGGGGGGTCCTGGGATGGGTCACGCGGGAGCTCCGTGGGCGGCCCCCGGTGACGATCCAGGGATCTTGTGGCCGTGATTTTCTCTTCGTCACTCCTGACTATCCGTGCGTGTAGCACTTGTGCTCAACGTGCCGCGGTGGTGCAAAATACATGAGTCACATCATTTACTCGTAACAACAGTTACTTCGACATTGGTAGAGCGGAGCGTGTTTTCTCTTTCTGTGCGCGGGGTGTGCACATCGGTTTCATTCCCATCGGAGTGGTGACGCCTTTGATCTACAACTACCAGCAGAGCGCGGAGTTCTGCAACTCTCTTCGTCGGCATGGCCGACTCCGACAATCAGAATGGCGCCGTCAGGAGGTTCTCGGGTGACAAGCCCACCGAGTACAAGGCGTGGAGGAAGTGGGCGAGAGCATGGATCAAGTCCAAGAATAACAATGAGGATGCTCGAGGCTCAGCACTGGTCACTCTCCTGACGGGGGCGGCCTTCAGGGCCATCGAGGACGTCGAGGACGACCTCATCGAGCAGGCTGGCGGAGATGATGTGATCTTCGCCATCCTTGACGACAAGTACCCCGACCTCCCAGCCACAGACCGGCTGGGCGAGGTGATGCGTGCCTGTCCGAGGCTCAAGACCCACAAGCATGAAGAGGCCAACGCATACACTGCCCGAGCCAGGGCCATCTTCGCTGATGCCGAGCGCAAAGGTATTGTCTTGCCAGAGATCGCGCGCGGCATCATGCTTCTCGAGGGTTGCCACCTGGACTCCGAGAAGGAGGCGGTCGTCATGGCCGCAGCCCACAGCTCCTGGCGGGAGCCCGACGTCGCTAGAGCTCTGAGGACCACGTATCGGGCAGGCCTTGGGAAGATGGCCATGGGCGGTCAGAGTCACTACAAGGCCTTCGTGGCTGAGCAGGAGCTCGACGGCGACGAGACTATCGAGGATGACGACGGCGACCCGGAGTGCGACGCACTTTTGGCCGACCACGGAGCACATGATGATGCCGACCCACCTGTTGATGAGCGGGATCTCATCGACGCCTTGATCTCATGGACGGAGCAGCGGAAGCTACACGGGAAGGTCAAGTTGGGTCGAGGTTTCGTGAAACCGAACCTAGAGGCGTATCGTCCAACAGAAAGGTGCCACAGTTGTAAAAAGATCGGCCACTTTCAGAAGGACTGCAAGGGGCCTCGCAAATCCACGGCAGGTACGAGCTCTACCGAATCAGTGAAGAGTCAGTTTTTCACATAATGTTTCTCTAATGTACCGACACCCATCAAGCCCATCGGGAGCATGACGTTCGACGAGATTCTCAGTGCGACGATCCAGAAGACCCGTTTTCACTAGGGCCGGATCGGAGCCCTGAGATCAAAAGGGATGTTTTTCTCTCGTCGGCGCCAGGCCATGCGATCCTTGACCTCGGATGCGCCAAGGGCATGGTGGGCGCGGAGACCTTCGAGCAGCACTGCCGACGACTCCGACGGGATCATGGACTACAGCCAGTGCGTCTACCCGATGCCCCGCAGGTATCTCTTCGCTTCGGCAACGATGGCAGCCAGTCGTCAGTGGGCGAGGTGCTACTGCCGAGTGGGATCCTGGGCAGGAACGCGGTCACGAAGTGGTCTTTGGTGCCAGGTTCGGCGCCTTTCCTCGTGTCCAAGCAGCAGATCAAGGCCATGAAGTCCCAGATTAACACCACCAGGGACACAGCTACCACTGCCGATCTGCCGGAGTGTACACTTCCCACAGGTGCTGGCGGCCACTACGTTCTTTCCCTGACCGAGTTTGACCCCAAGGGTTTCCGTGACAACCTGGACCCGATGATCAGCGACCCCGAGGTCACTATCTACATGGCGGTCGCCGCTACGGAGAAGCAGCCAAACGTGATCCCCGCTCCCGAGGGGTCGGCAGGCGACATCGAGGACATGACCATGTGCGACAGGGCTGGAGGTCCACCACCTACACTTCCAAGGGAAGCTGAGGATGCTGCTCGCATCATTCTCGGCGACAACCATGACCGGTGCCTGGCGACGATAGCACCAGCGGATCTCGACCTTATGCCAGCTGACCGGCAGGAGCGTATCGAGCCCCGTGTCGAGTCTACTGCCGATGCTGAGGATGACGCTGGTATCTCCGAGGACCTGATCGACGAGCTCGCGGAGGCCTATCCTCCATCGGGTGATGCCACTGGCGAGCTCACCCGCCGACAGCGACGACGATTGGCGAAGGACATCACCACGGTCACCGCGCAGCTGCGGCGCGCGGGACTCTTCGAGTTGTTCAGCCCTGAGCGAGTGGGTCCGAAGGCCGAGCTCAAGGGTCTGGGCCCAGCAAAGGCCCTGGACCTGACCACCGGCTGGGACCTCCTGCGCGCAGATCACCGTCGAGAAATGTGGCGACAACTGGCTGAAGATCAACCTGAGTGGGTTGGCATGTCGCCACCCTGTACGTTGTTTAGCATCCTGCAGTACATGAATAAGCAGAGGGATACTCCCGGATATCAGCGAGCGACGTTTGGCAAGCGCTCGGCTCCTACTTCGACTGTGCGTTCAGGTTGCCGAGTACCAACTGGCTCACGACCGTCACTTCTATATCGAGCAGCCACAGTCGGCGCAGTCGTGGAACGAGCCTGCGATGATCAGACTAAGGCGCCAGGACCGGGTGCATGAGGCAGTTGGCCACGGTTGTCAATATGGTTATCACGACGCGATCAGTGGCAAGCCCTATCGCAAGGCCTTCAGGCTCATCACTTCGAGTCCGGTGTTGGCTCAGGCTCTGTCTCGACGCTGCCCAGGCGACCATCACCACGAGACGATTCAAGGAGGAGCTGGAGGTGAACGACGGAGCGCAGCTTCTCAGCGCTATCCCCCCGCACTGATTAGGGCCATCGTGAGTGGGATGTCCAAGGAGTCGTCAGCTCTTTTTTCCGAGGTGGAGGTCGAGGAGTCGCTGCAGGCGAGGGCCGTGCTCTGGCAGGGTTTGGTCGAGGTCCACGCCCACGAATCTCTCATGGCGGAGGTGTTTGCCGCGCCCAAGAGGCGCAAGAAGGCTGATCAGGACGTGGAGGAGCCGCCAGAGTCCCAAGCTGAAGCTCGAGATCGACGACGGAAGCTGGAGACGGCGGTCCGCAAGATCCATGTCAATCTTGGCCATCCTGCAGCTGGGGACCTGATCCGCATCCTCAAGCATGGTAACGCGACTGAGGAGGCCATCGCCATCGCGCGGGATTTCAAGCGCGACGTATGTGAACAGAACCGAGCTCCCAAGTTGCCACGGCCAGCGACGGTTCCCAGAGACATTCAGGTGTTGTCCGAGGTAGGCTTCGACGTCAAGGAGCTGCCGTACTACATCTCTGAGAAGACTTGGGCCGCTCTGAACGTCGTGGACGGTGCCAGCTCTCTCCAACAGATGATGCCGCTGGCAGGTAATGAGGAGAACGGTGAGACTCTCAGGAAGGCCTGGGACGTGGGCTGGCGAAGGCCGCACGGAGCACCGGTCAGGGCCAAATGTGACTCGGCCCGGGCCAATACCGGTGCCATCATGTCCGAGGTGCTGGAGTGCGACGGAGAGGATTTCGACGTCATTCCAGGAGAAGCTCACTGGTTACTCGGAAAGGCTGAAAGACATGGCTCGTGGTTCGCCAACATACTGAGCAAGGTGATCGAGACAGTCCAGCCGAAGAACCATCAGGAGTGGGAGCAATGCGTCAGTACAGTCTGTGATCAGAAGAACCGCCTCTTGAGGAAGCATGGGCACAATCCATGCCAACATGTGTTCGGACGTGATCCTCCTCTCCCGGCCGACCTTCTCAAGGATTCACCTGCCATCGTTGCGAACGGCTTGGCACTGCGCAGCGACGTCTACCAGCGGGCCACGGCTGTTCGGACTGCCGCCCGCATGGCTGTCCTGATGTACAGTGACGATGAGGCCATGAGAACAGCTCTGGACGCTCGACCTCGCCCCCTCCGAGAGTTTCGAGCAGGTGATCGGGTAGCCTACTGGCGGCGAGGTCGAGGCAAGGGCCGGCAGAATGACGGCAAGAATAATGCACGTTGGCATGGGAGGGCTACAGTCCTTGGCGAGGAAAATGGTCACTACTGGTTATCACACGCAGGTGCCCTGATTCGAGCAGCTCCCGAACGCCTTCGACATTCTACCCGCGAGGAGGAGTGGGCAGACTGGCATGTGCGTCAAGAGTTCAGGGCTGCCCAAGAGAAGTTCAATGGAAAGCAAGGCAACCCGGTCTACGTGGATCTGCCTGCTGAGAATCAAGGACAGGCGCCGGCTCCATCTGGCGACGGTCGTATCATCGTGGTGCCGGCGCCTCTGCCTGTCGGTCCTGAGCCTGCTCTACCTCCCGGGCCCGCTCTATCTGAGGACCGACCCCAGCCTGACGCTGGATCGACTGACAATGTGTTGGCTCCAGCTCCTGGGGACACCGGCCTCGAGGTGGACCAAGCCGCCAAGAGAAAGATCGACGAGCTGCAGGATCCGAGCCTAGTCGCCCGACGCGTGTTCGACATCGAGGGTAAGCCCTTGAAACGCCTGAGGGAGAAGACAGCAGTCCCGACTGAGGGTCTCACATCATCGGCGACATCTGGTCAAGCTATCACCATTGCTGTGCAGCCTGCCGTCGAGGAACCTCCGACTCGGCCAGCTGATGCTCGGCAGGCGCTCCTGGACTCCGATCCAGAGCACGACGAGCTAGTGGCAGAGGCTGAGACGGAGGATCAGGACGTGATCATCCCTGCTGATGTCTGCCTGACCTCCATGGCGCGCACCGGCGAGCCCTGCTACGAGGCATTGCTGGCGAAGGGCCGCAAGGGGATCACCGAGAAGCTCCGCCCCGACCTCATCGAGGAGATCCTGAACGCCAAGATGACAGAGTGGCAGACCGTGGACCAGGAGAAGCATGCCGTACGTGTGTGCAGCTTGAAGGAGTCAGGTGAGATCAAGCGTACCCGACCCGATCGGCTCGTTGACACACGTTTCGTCCTGACCATCAAGCACGACCCCGACGGCAAGGAAATGGTAAAGGCCCGCTGGGTTGCCAGAGGTTTCAAGGACCCGGACGCTCTCAAGCTCGTCTACTGGAACCAGACGGCCGCACCTACGGTATCGCAGAACGCTCGCATGCTGACACTTCAGCTGGCTGCATCACATCAATGGCGACTTGAGATCGGAGACATCCGGGGCGCATTCAAGGAGAGCGACCCACTACAACGACCAGATGGACCACTCTACGCGAAGCAGCCACCTGGCGGCCTTCCTGGTCTTCATCCTGATCAGGTGGTGGAGCTTGTGATACCTCTGTATGGCTTGGATGACGCTCCTTGCCGCTGGTACTCGAAGATATCAGGTTGGCTTACAGATCAGACGGCTCACGAGTGCAGACCGTGGACGAAGTCACGCTTGGACCCCTGCCTCTTTCTCCTTCGCGATGCTCAGTGTAAGCTTTGTGGTATTATTGTGGTCCATGTTGACGATGTGTTGATCGCGGGTGAAGATGATTATTTTCATGAGGCGGTGCGGAGATTGAAGGGGAAATTCCCTTTCCGAAAGTGGGCTGTCGGTGAGGGTGAGTACTGTGGCAGTGTTCTCCACCAGGATCCGAAGACGTTTGACATCTCCATCCGCCAGACCACGCCTTACCAGGAGCTCAAGCCAGTGACAGTTCGACGACGGGTCGCGGACAATGAACCAGCTACTGAAGCGGAAGTTGCAGGACTTCGACGCTTACTTGGTCAAGGAGGCTGGCTCTGCAGTCAGACACGACCAGACACCAGTGTGCAGGTCTCTCAGGGACAACAAGTGCTGCCTCGACCGACTGTGGGTCAAACCAGACGGACCAATGCACTTGCACGACGGCTACTTCAACATAAGGATATGATGCTAATCGTGAAGAGCATCCCACCTCAGGAGCTGTGTATCATCATGCACCGTGACGCGTCCTTCCTGAACGCTGCCAAGAACGGCACTCAGGCTGGGTACATCTTGGCCTTCACGACTCGCGAGATGGCGGAGGGCAAGAAGTCACCCTGGAGTCCAGCAGCCTGGCGATCGTACCGTCTCAAACGCGTGGTGGGTTCTACCTTGGCAGGTGAGACACAGGCTCTGTCTGATGGCATTGGTCACCTCGAATGGTTGTTGTGCCATCTGGCCGAGGCCCTCTACGGGGACTTTGACATCAAGACGCGTGAGCGCTGGCTAGGTCGACATCCCTGCCTCGCAGTGACCGACTGCAAGAGCGTGTATGACCACATCACTGGCGCTTCATCGCCATCCACAGTCGGAGATCGCAGAGTTGCCGTGGACATGGTCGTCGCTCGAGAAGGTTTGGCTCGATCCACAACAGCACTGAAGGTGGGCACCCACCGACCGCCAGCTGGCGGACGGGTTGACGAAAGACACTGCTGAGACTTGTGACTTGCTCAGGGGTGTCATCAGGACCGGATGCTGCCAGATCTCCGAGGAGAGCCTCATGCTGCAGTTGGCCGAGACGGAGCGGGAGCAGAGGAAGGTCATCGAGAAGTGACATCACCGCAGGGGGGACTGAGCTGTTTTCAGTCGTGTGTAGTTTTTGTTCTCGCGTTTCAAAGATACCCGCATGTGCGTTTTGGCCTGTTGGTGGAAAAAGCGGTTGCGACGAGTGCGTCTACTCTATGGGGGCAACCAACACCGATGCCAAGCACGTCTCCTATGTACCTTGTGGCTCAAGCATTTCTTTATGAGGCACCTCGTGTACGACCTTCCACACGGTGCTCAGAGATGGTGCACTTTGTGGTTACTGGTGATCACGACACGTGTCGCACGTTTTTGAACACTTTAGGTTATGCGTCCACCGCTGGGGCAGTGGTCCACAACAAGTCATCCACCAAGGCCAAGGTCAATGCGAGTGTCTTGCTGGGTTCCAAGTACGACAATCAGAAGATCGGCCTGACCTACACTCTGACGACCAAGCGTGTGCAGATCACCAGGCCCGCAGCTATCATCGATGCGGCCGAGATTATACTGGTCGATCAAGAGAATCGTTTCACCAACTTCATCGCAGCAGGAGACGACAGTGAGTTTGCTGGTGCTCCTCCTGCTGCTTCTATTGCCATTGAAGCGCTGAAGGTATGGGCCGCTCATGACTATGAGGAGCCCACTACAGCAGAGGAGGCTTCGGAGCAGGTCAAGAAGCAGGAAAAGGACAGCCCTGACAGTCACGGGTTTCAGCATGTGACGGCGTCAGGTTGGACGTCTCGTCGTCTAGCTTTATCCTCCCAGCAGGAGGTCATCATCGGAGAGATTCTGCAGGAGTCTCGCAGCAAGCTCGAGTGTCACCCAGAGCTGTACAATCGCCTCCGGTCTATTTTGATCCATGAATTCACGAATTCCATCGAGGATGGTTTTGAGACGGCACCGCTGCCGTCCTGCAAGCCCGACGTGAGCATGGGAGAGGACAAGGCTGGGAAGTCCAAGCCTTGAGAATACGCTGAGCATGCAGCTGCTCGTGAATGACGACCAGGCGGGCAGCCCCGCCCTGCAGTTGTCCCCTTTCCTGTTTCCTCTCTTCCTCCTTCCTCTCTCCCTCGTGTGCTGTCAGCGTGCTCTACGATTTTGTCAGATAGCTCAGGAGACTTTAACGAACATTTAAGTTTTGGGAGTGACGATCCAGGGATCTTGTGGCCGTGACTTTCTCTTCGTCACTCCTGGCTATCCGTACGTGTAGCATTTGTGCTCAATGTGCCGCGGTGGTGCAAAATACATGAATCACATCATTTACTCGTAACAACAGTTACTTCGACACCCGGGGCGGGTCGCGGGGGAGGCCCCGGGGGCCACGCGGGGGGTGGCCCCTCCCCGGTGGACCGGAGGAACCCGAGGCCCCCGCCCTCCCGCCCGCTCACGCGGGGGGTCTCCGCCCTGCGCACCGGGAGAACTGGCTGCCCCCCGCCTCCCGGCCCCCGGTCCCCCCTGCGGACGGCAGGGGGACACAGGGGGGTTGCCCCCCCCTGTGGACAAGGGAAACTTGAGGCCCCCCCCAGCCCTTCCCCCCCCCCTTCCCCCCTGTGGACAAGGGGGACAAAAGGGGATGGCCCCCTGTGTGCAAGTGGAACTCAGGACCCCTCCCCCCGCCTCCCCCTGTGGACAAAGGACCCCCCCCTTCCTTCCGAATCCCCCCCCTTCCCGGA